TATAAATTGAAATATGGATTTGGGACCAAACCCTCAGAACTATCAACCTTTCACGTCGAGGTCGAAGGCAACTTCGAGTAGGGCTTGGAGTATTCAAGGCTTGTGAAGGACGAATGGCGTATGTTTAGGGAAAGTATCAAGGACGTGTGTTTAGGATGTGTTGGGATGTGTTTGGGCTAAGGCTACATTAAGGCTAGGCTAGAAATCAAGAGAGAAAGAAGAATAAGCTTTAGCTTAGAAAGGGGGGAAGAGATGATGATTGTTAGTGAATGAAAACGGGGTGATACGACCTCTATTTATAGGGAAAAATGAGGGTCGAAAGATCAGAAAAGAGTCAGAATTCGACTTGGAGTAAAACAGGTTCCATCGCGACGCAATAGATTTATCGCAGCGCGATAGGCTTATCGCGATGCGATATGCTTATCGCAGCGCGATATTTTTATCGCTCAGCGATGCTTTTAAAAGATAGACTCCGTACGGAATCCGACTTCCAATCAAATTGGGTTAATCGAATTTCCGTAAGTATTCTAATTTTATGAGAATTAAAATCATCGAAAACCAAGTGTTTTATCCGATATAAAATTCTTTAGTCTTTATCTTTTAAAAAACAGGATAAATTATAACCTTCTGGAAGATTATATAAGCTAATAATAAATCCTAAGGGATTTAGTATTGAAAACAACCTTTTAGAATATTGTAGAAGCTTGTAACAAATCCTAATTAGTTTAAGGATAAGGTTTAGGTTAATGGACCCTCCACATGGTCATTGAGTCGTGGGTAAGGCTCGGTTTGGGCTCAGTTTAGTATTTTGGCCATAACTTCTTCGTTATAACTTGGATTTGGGTTTGTAATTGATCACCGGATAATAGGTCGTGTCTAATATCCTAAAACAAATCAAGAATGTATAATCATAACCTTTCTCTATTATGTTCACACTAGATAGTGGCAAGCTAGGGTCCAACCACAAGGAAACGGGATAATGCACAATCAAAGTGAAATTAAGAATCTATTGCAAGTAACAAGGGGTATTTTGATTTTTTGTTATTTTCAATGATCAAATTAACTACTAAAATAGATAAAAGCAAGCAAATTAAGAAAGTTCAAACTAGAAACACTAATATAAGGATGGAAAACAAGAGTTGAGAGAAATATGATCAAAACACTAGGGAGAGGGGGTTCCAATCATGTTTGACTAAGACAACAATGATAATCAACATGGATTCATGCCAAGGAATACAAATTCTACTCAAATAATTCATTCCCATGCAATTACTCAAGCAAATTGATGAAATAGATCAAAACTAAACTAGATCATTCCCATGCATCTAATTTAGAACCCGGATATTGGAAATAAAGGTGCACATCAATAAATCCAAGTAATTTAAGCATAAAATCATCAACTCAAGGCTAAATCCAATCAATCATCAATATAATCCCTATCAATCATGATCTTCACCCCCTTCCCTAGCTAAAAATCTAAGCTAGAGAAGAGAAAATAGCCATCACAACTACACTAAGCATGGTTTCAATCTTAGCAAAGCTAAACATGATTCAAATTCAAAAGGTAAGGCAATCAATCAAGTAAAATCAACGAAATAGATGGAAATCAACACTATCTAAAGCAATTAAACCAAACAAAAGGGAGAGGGTAAAGAGATCTTGATTACAATGATGAAACTATGAAGCTTGATTGATGAAGAAAACATGAGATACTTGCATTGAATTGAAGAAAACTTGAAGAAATCTTGATTACAATGATGAAACTTAAAGATTAAGCAACTTTCTCTCTCTAAAATACTAGAGTTTCTCTCACTACAAAGTTCTAATTATAATTGGAAAAAAATAGGATCCTCCTAAAATTCAAGAAAAAGTCTATTTATATTGCATCAAAATTCCGGAAATAACGAACTAAGGAGAGCCCTCTCGAGCAAGGCCGCGTCCTCTCCAAGCTGGGTACAAAACTGCAAAACTTAGGAGGCCGCGCCCGCATCATGAAGTGTCGTTCCTGTGGTGGTTGGTGGAGAGGCCTCTCTCAGCTAGGGAGAGGCCGCGACTGAGGAGCAGGGGAAATCGGGGCCTCAAAATGCCGCGCCCGCTTCATGAAGTGTCGTGCCCGCGGGTGTTTGGGGAAAGCCCTCTCCAAGGGCGCGGCCAGCCTTCTACAGTTTCAAGGTTGAGCTCCAATTCAACCTGTCCGCGCCCGCGACTTGAACACCCGCGTCTGCGACTCCCTGCAGAGCTGCACGCCCTCTGTCTTGAGCATCTCCTCCTCTTCCTTAGCCAAATTTGCTCTTTTAACTCTATCCAAGAGTGCCAAAAACCTTCAAAATCAACAAAGAAAAGATATAAAACAAAAGAAAAGATAAAAGAAGAGGAAAATCACGAGAAAGAACAAAAATAACCAAAACAAGGGTAAAAACGGCTAGAGAAGGCGCGAACAAGTGACAAATGGGGGAAAATCATTAATAAAAAGGGCTAAATAATGGCATAAATGGCACTCATTAAAATCACCCACACTTGCCTCTTGCTTGTCCTCAAGCAAAGCTAAAAGTAAAGAGAAAAAGCAAACACTACAAAGACTAACACAACATGGCAAGGCTTAGGAAAACCAATCAAGTTTTAGAGTGGACAATTCTTCATTCGAACTCAAAAGAAAAAAACTAGCGCCAAAGAATACTCACCTTTCTTAATCAAATGAGGGAAAACACGTTCTAAGATGCTCATGGTTGAAAGAGACAAACCTAAGCTAAGCATAGAGAACTAAAGATTTCATTCTACGCCCAATCCCCAACCAAGCGGTCTGCGTTCTCTCCACTAGTTTCAAATCCACCCTTAAGCTAGTTTCTCATGATTCCTCGAAGGAACCAGAAAAAGATTAAGAAATGTAAAACTTTGAGGAGGTAATCCCGACGTCTTAGCCATGAACACTCTATCCATAGGGTTGAAAACTATCTCCCTCCACCGATATTGACTCAACCCTCGAGGGTCTAAGGGTCTTTTATAGGTTGTAACGTAAGGCTAGGGGGTCAAGGCGGGGCAAAAATTTGAAAATTTTGGTGGTATTTCCTAAGTGAAGCAAAAGGGTTATCAAACCTCAAAAACAAACTCACGAAGTCACCAAACATCAATCAAAAATACCAATAATGTCATCTCCCCCAAGCTTATTCAACACCAACGCACAAAATATATACAAAAACGAAGGAACACTCCCCCCAAGCTTGAACGAAGCATTATCCTCAATGCTTAAAATAGGGAAGAAAACGAAACCAACTAAAATATTTTTGTTGTATTTGTTTCTTGGATTTTTTTTTCTTAGCTCTTATTTGGTGTCCTTGCCTTTTTTTTAACTATGGACAGCTTTTTCTTGAATGCATTTGCTTTATTACACACAATATATACAATTTACTGTCTTGCTTGGTCCAAAAAGCATATTACTTTCTCATTTTCAATACAACCATCACAACACAAAACAAACTCTCAAACCAAAATGCTTCACAAAACTAAGGGTTAAGGAAACAAAATGTCATAAGGCTTGTAATGTGGCTCATAATCAAGAAAGGGAATACAAGGGGTTAGCAAGAAGAGAAAATGCAAAATAAAGACAAAAATTGTAGCAAAACAAAAAGAAGATAAAGAAAATGAACAGATCCCTTGTCATCCCCTAGAGTGGCTCGGTCACGGCCTTGGGAAGCTAGAGGTCAAACCAAGGATTAAGACATGCATAGCTAAAGATCCTAAATTGCCGCTCAACAAGGTGATGAAGGCTAGAACAATGTAACCTCACTGGAGATTAAAATAGGCAAATACCAACCAAGGGTTTCAAATCCCCTATAGAGAGCAACTCCATCTTACCACTTCCCGTGAACTAAGGTTTCAAATGTCCTCCAAGTTCTTAACCTTGCTACCTTAGCTTAAAATTTGTCTAACTCAACCAAAAGCATTCTCAAACCGTGTATTCCATCATCAACTAGGAAGAAACAAGCATTCTAAGGTACATCATCAAAGCAATCGAGTCATGTTTGTCACACAAAAAGGGAAAACAAAACAAAAGAAGAAGGAAGAAATCAAAAAGGTTCACAAACGAGGCATATAAATCCAATTAATTCCCAATCATCATACAATGATCATTCGATAACAACATCAACGATCCCAGGTTCCTTAGAACCAAATGCAAACAACCTCGAAACATTCAAATTCTTCCTAAACTAACCTAAACTAAGCACACCAAAAGAAAGAAAGTGAGTGAAAACAAGAAAGGTCTCACCGGGAGGTTGTTGAAAAGATATCAAGGAGCAAAATAAATTCAACGCATGTTAAGTCCGCTCCAATGCTTCTAAAAGCGACCTACACGATAAGTCCAAGGTACACAAATCAAAAGGGTAAAAGGGAAAAATAAAAGAAAACTAAAAGAGAAAGGATATGAGGGTTAGAAATCCTCCAGGTTGCCTCCTGGGAAGCGCTTGTTTAAGGTCTCTAGCATGACCCTTCACCTCTTTAAAGGTGGATCAAAGGATACCACCTTCCTCAACTTAGAGGTGCAAGTAGCATGCATGCCCCCAAGCTTGGGCAAGAATACATCTTGTAACATCTCTCCATCAAAAGGGATAAATGGAGGCATTTTAGGGACCCAAACTTTCTCAACTTTCTTATTCATCTTTTTATTGTTGTTGTTTATTTTCTTCTTCTTTCTCTTCCGTAAACACCTTTGAGAAGAACCACTTCTTGCATTCTCGATCTTGGGAGGGGCAACCTCACCTTCCTCAAGAGAGTCTTCAAACAAGGATGAGATTCCTACCAAATGATCCTCATTCATCATAGATACTTTGGCCACCTCCTTTGATTTCTTGAAATGGGGCTTAGGACTCCCTTTCAATCCCATCTCTCTTTTCTCAAGATCATTCTCTTGAGGGAAACCTACCAAATCCACTCTACAAATCTTGTCCACCATGGGATTCTTAAATACCTTGGAAAATTCAAACACTATCTTTTCATCAGCAACTTCACAAGTTGATAGTGTTGTTCTTGTAATTGATCACCGCTCCCAAGGTCTTAAGAGCCTCACGACCCAAGATCAAAGGTGTCTTGTTATCTTCATCCATGTCCATGACAACAAAATCACAAGGAACATAGATATGTCCTACTTGAATGGGAACACCCTCAAGCTCTCCACATGGCAACTTTACCGATCGGTCGGCAAGTTGAATTGTCTTCCTTTTAGGGATTATTTCAATGTTGAGTTGTCGAGCAATGGACAATGGGATCAAACTCACACTAGCCCCAAGATCGGCCAAGGCACCTTTCTTCCAAATTCCCAATCTTCACCGGCAAAGTAAAGCTCCCGGGATCTTGTTGCTTCTTGGGCATCTTATGTTGCACTAGAGCACTAACATGAAAAGGAAGAGTGACGATGTCTTCATTGATCTTCTTTTTGTTGGAAAGAATTTCCTTGAGAAACTTTGCATAGGAGGGCAATTGTGTGATTGCCTCAAGGAAGGGAATATTAATATGTAGACCCTTCATCACCCTTAGAAACTTAACTAACTTCTCCTCCAAATTCCTTTCCGCTAACCTACCGGGAAAGGGGACCGGTCCATCAAGATTCCTCACATCACTAGGGGGTGACGGTGTCTTCTTCTCGTTAAGCTTGTTTTTCTCAATGCCCTTACCCATATCAACAACCCCGGCCCATCCTTAACCACCTCATCCTCACTTCTCTTCTCGTCACTAACCTTATTCTTTGGGTCATCATAGGTGGTTCCCGACTTTAAAGTCATAGCTTTGTAAGACTCAATTTTGTAGGTATGTGAGGGGTTAGGGTTTGATTGACCGAGAAGTGTAGATGGTGAATTGAAGGAAGACCTTTCGGTCAATTAAGCCAATTGATAGTCCACCATTTTATTATGGGCTTTGACTTCTTGTATTCGTTGGTTTTGGTTTTGGATTAGTTGGCCAAAAGCTTGAAGTTGTTGGCTCATGGTTTGAAGGATTTGGGTTTGGGCTTGGTCCATTTGTTGCGGGGTTTGGTCATGGTGTTTTTGAGGGAATTGGTTTTAGTTTTGCCTTGGATAGTTTCCTCCTTGGTTTTGGTTTTGGTTGTAGAGTAGAGGTTGGTTTTGGAATTGGGGGTTTAAAGGTGGTTGATTTGGTTGGTTCCATTGTTGGGGTTGAGGTGCAAAACCGGGGGGTGGTTTCCTCCAAGCAACTCCAACTCCGTTGCTCACAAAACCATCTTGTCTTGAGTTTAAGGCGACAACATGCTCGGGGTTCAAACCTCCACAATAAGATGTATCATGGTTTGTACCACCACAATTTTGACAAGAGAAAGCATTGATTTGTGAGGGGCTTGAGCCAACAATTCCACTAGATCCCAACTTGGCTACACCTTTACTCAAAAGCTCCACTTGATGTTGAAGTCAATCAAGCTTCTCCAACTCATCCTTTCTCCCCTTCTCTAGAGTAGTGCTTCTTCTACTTCCCCGTGAATAGTTCTTGGTCACCTCCTCAATTGTTGCTTCAACTTGGTTTTGGGGAATCTTGATTAATTGACCACCCGCCCCCGCATCCAAGTTTGCTCTAGACATAGGTTCCAACCCATCATAAAAGAAACGCATAAGCAAGCTTTTATTGTATTCATGGTGAGGATATGCTTGAACCAATTCTTTGAACCTTTCCCATGCTTCACTAAGGGTCTCATCCGCTTCTTTCTCAAATGATGCAATCTTCCTTCTCATTTTGGCGGTCTTTTCCTCGGAAATGAACCTCTTCAAGAATGCCTTGACTATCTCCCTCCATGTTGTGAGAGAATTTGGCTTGACTTGCTTGAGCCACTTCTTTGCTCTACCCGAAAGAGATTGTCGAAATAAGTGCATACGGATGTACTCTTGAGAAACTTGATTAGTTTGAATCATGGCACAAAGCTCAAGGAATCTATCAAGGTTCTTAATAGGATCTTCACTTGGAGAACGCGAAAATTGCTCCGCTTGTACCAACCTTGTGTATTGGGGATAAATTGTAAAATTGGTTTCCGTGACGGGTAGCAAAATCCCTCCCGTGAGCTCATAATCCTCCTGATTTCCAAACTCACGAAATAAAATATCATCTTCTTGTGTCGCCATTGCCTCACTTTGAGAACTTGAAGACCAAGAATCACTCCCATTCTCAATAATAACACCAAGACCTCGCGCCTCTACTTGATTAAGCCTACGGACTTGTCTCAAAGTACGGTCGATCTCGTGGTCAATGTAATGTGTGGGTGGTCATTGAGACCTCCTTCGCAGCCACCAAAGCTAAGTAAACAATTAGCACTGACTAGCAAGAGAGTAAATGAACAAAAGCAAAAGCTAAAATTCCAATAATATCACAATAAAAGTACAAAACTAGCCATTTCCCCGGCAACGGCGCCAAAAATTTTATCGCCGGATAATAGGTCGTGTCTACTATCCTAAATCAAATCATCAATTTGTAATCCTAACCTTTCTCTATCAAGTTCACACTAGATAGTGGCAAGCTAGGGTCGAACCACAAGGAAACGGGGTAATGCACAATCAAAGTGGAATTAAGAATCTATTGCAAGTAACAAGGGGTATTTTGATTTTTTTTGTGATTTTCAATGATCAAATTAACTACTACAAATTATAAAAGCAAGCAAATTAAGAAAGTTCAAACTAGAAAAACTAATATAAGGATGGAAAACTAGATTTGAGAGAAATATGATCAAAACCCTAGGGAGAGGGGGTTCCAATCATGTTCAACTAAGACAACAATGATAATCAACATGGATTCATGCCAAGGAATACAAATTCTACTCAAATAATTCATTCCCATGCAATTACTCAAGCAAATTGATGAAATAGATCAAAACTAAACTAGATCATTCCCATGCATATAATTTAGAACTCAAATATTGGAATTAAAGGTGCACATCAATAAGTCCAAGTAATTTAAGCATAAAATCAACAACTCAGGGCTAAATCCAATCAATCATCAATATAATCGCAATCAATCATGATCTCCACCCCCTTCCCTATCTAGAAATCTAAGCTAGAGAAGAGAAAATAGCCATCACAACTACACTAAGCATGGATTCAATCTTAGCAAAGCAAAACATGATTCAAATTCAAAAGGTAAAGCAATCAATAAAGTAAAATCAAGGAAATAGATGGAAATCAACACTATCAAAAGCAATTAAACCAAACAAAAGGGAGAGAGTAAAGAGATTACTACTATGAAGCTTGATTGATGAAGAAAAAATTGAGATACTTGCATTGAATTTAAGAAAACTTGAAGAAATCTTGATTACAATGATGAAACTTAAAGATTAAGCAACTTTCTCTCTCTAAAATACTAGAGTTTCTCTCACTACAAAGTTCTAATTATAATTGGAAAAAAGTAGGATCCTCCTAAAATTCAAGAAAAAGTCTATTTATATTGCATCAAAATTTCGGAAATAACGAACTAAGGAGAGCCCTCTCGATCAAGGTCGCGCCCTCTCTAAGCTGGGTACAAAACTGCAAAACCCAGAAGGGCGCGCCCGCGACATAAAGTGTCGCGCCCGCGGTGGTTGTTGGAGAGGCCGTAGCTGAAGAGTAGGGGAAATCAGGGCCTCGAAATGTCGCACCCGCGGGTGATTGGAGAGAGCCCTCTCCAAGGGCACGACCAGCCTTCTACAGTTTTAAAGGTTGAGCTCCAATTCAGCCTGTCCGCACTCGCGGCTCCCTGCAGAGCTGCGCGCCCTCTCTCTTGAGCATCTTCTCCTCCTCCTTAGCCGAATTTGCTCTTTTAACTCCATCCAAGAGTTCCAAAAACCTTCAAAATCAACAAAGAAAAGTTATAAAACAAAAGAAAAGATAAAAGAAGAGGAAATCACGAGAAAGAACAAAAATAACCAAAACAAGGGTAAAAACGGCTAGAGAAGGCGCAAACAAGAGACAAATGGGGGAAAATCATTAATAAAAAGGGCTAAATAGTGGCAAAAATGCCACTCATCAATAATATATCGTTAGAAAGCACTTTTCAATCCCAATCCAACTACACAATTATTGGACCTAGATTATAGACCAAAATAAACTAGTTTGGACTTTATTATAAATAGGACACGAAATGAATGATTTTAAGGACACGAAATGAATGATTTTGGCTTAAAACATTTAAGGAAAGGCTAGAAATGGTTAATGCTAGAGGAAACTTCACGAGGTTCTTTTAACTCTTCACTTAACTCGATATTCAAAGACTTAAGTTTCTTGGGAAGGCATAATAAGGTGTCTACTGAAGCCCCCACTTTGATTGAGTTTGGAGAAACGTAAGTTTTGAAAATGCTAGTCAAAGTAAATCAATAGGGACGGAGAATGCTTCAGAACGTTCTGCGATCCTAAATCATTCTTTTTAACACCGATACTTGTAGAAAAATGTTAATTCTACAAATAAAGGAGTTAGAAACGCGTATCTTGCACCATTGGATACACGCCTCTGGGTGACATATTGTCGAATCAAATTCGTTCTGTTTTACAACCTCCACAATGCTTAGTGAACGACGTCGAAGGTGGCAGTGCTTCGCTATTTTTAATATTGTGGCAGTGCTTCGCCATTTTCAGATTAAGGTGACAACCTCCACATCCTAGGGACATCGTCGAAGATCACAGTGCTTAGCGGTCATCAAATGTTAGGGTGACAACCTCCACATCCTAGGGAAAGTCATCAAAGGTAGAAATGTGTCTCCATCTTCAAATCAAAGTGACAATCTCCTCATCCTAAGGACATCGTCGAAGATCGCAGTATGTCGCCATCTCCAAATCTCGTCAATACTTAGATGGGACCAACCAATGCTGACAACCTCCACATCCTAGGTAGAGCCGTCGAAGATCACAGTGCTTAGCGATCCTCAAACCTCGCCAATGCTTAGCCGAGATTAACCAATGCTTAGGTGCAATCAATCAGCCAATGCTTAGGCGTGCATAACCAATGTTTAGGTGCAATCAATTAGCCAATGCTTAGGCGTGCGTAACCAATGTTTAGGTATAATTTTTCCAGCCAATGCTTAGGCGCAATATGTTCTGCCAATGCTTAGGCGTAATGTGCTCTGCCGGTGCTTAGGCATTTCTAAGTGTAATGAGCCAATGTTTAGGCGCTTATCAAATATGCTTTGCCAATGTTTAGGCGTGCTCAATCAATAAAGTGATCGTCATCTGGCCGATCATCAATCAAAAATTGTAATCGGGCCGATTACTAATCAAATCAATTTCTCATCAATGTCTCATCATGAGGCTCAAATCAAATTGTGGGACCCACAAGGTTTGACGCGGGCGGAAACAGATCTATCGCGTGACGACAGGTCCTATCGCGCCACGATAAATTCGCTGTAATTTAAACCCCTATTCTTCAATTCGCTCATTCTCACTCGTTTCTCAACCAAATTTGCTCAAATTTGTTGCAAATCGTCGCATTTCCATTCTAGTTTGTCGATCTATGTAAGTTTTGCTCAAACTCTTCTTAATTTGGGTGAATTTCGAGTATTTATTTCGCATTTTTTTGAAAAATTCGAAACATGTTCATGCTAATTACTCAATTTTTGTTGAATTTCTTGCCATGAAATTGCTTGTATGTGTTGGTATATTTCTTTGTGAGTAATTTGTGACTAGAATTGCATGATTTGGTGAAGAAACGAGCGTTTTACC